TCAGAAGTTTCTTTCCCCTTTTTTTTCTCTAGTCCCTCAAAGGTCATTTAAATATGTATCAGCGCTCCTTGGATTATGGTGGGTTGCGTCCCAATAAACCCATGATAAGGCAAAAATATCAAAAGTGAAAAACACATGATACTTATTTTTAAATTATAATGAATTTATTTGACTGTAGCCTCATGATAAATCAAGGACTGTAGTAAATATGTATCACTTTCTACCACTGTAAAGTCAAAAAATCGAAGTCCTAAATTGAGGACCTTCAATGTCAACAATTATTGAGTCCCAATCTGTTTCCCTCAAATCTGAGTTTGGTGTTAAGAGGGATACAAAGTTACCATTTATAATCCTGCAGGATCATCTTAAGCAACATTGTTAAAATGCAGGAAGGTAGGTAGGTAGGTAGGGGTGTGTGTGTGTGTGTGTGTGTGTGTGTGTGTGTGTGTGTGTGTGTGTATGTGTGTGTGAGAGAGAGAGAGAGAGAGAGAGAGACAGAGAGAAACGGATGGGAAAAGATGTACTAAATTGTCAAAACCACAGTATTGCTTGAATGGTGGCCCAGCTTTTGTCTACACTATAGGCATGATCTATGTGTCTTGGACTGACTCTAGGTTTGACTCTGATGTTAGCCAGACACGTACCCTCTCTAATTCTATCCAGGGCTAGGCCTCTTGCGAGAAGGAGAAAAGACTTTCTATTGATGAAGAGAAGGGGAGCCTGATCTAATTGTTATCTGACTTTGTGCTCAACTTAACTCTGCACATCCCGAAAAATGAGTTAGAGAACATCATAACACAAGAAAAGTTGAGAGTAGGTTTATTGCCATCTTTGGAGATAGGGTACATGAGCTGTGGTCATAAAGAGGGATTGTTACAAGACAGACTGGTCAGAAGAACAAAGATGACTTATCTGATCCTGACTGCAACAAAGGGCCGGTTATGAAACAAGGTATTCGAGTTGCCTCTGTCCTCATTTAACTGGTAGCATGCCAATTAAATGCCTCCTGCAAGAGAATAATAAGATGATGCTCTTTAATCAATTAAATGTGTTCTTATGTGTCAGGCTGTACTATACAGGCTGTTGGCAAAGGTATTCCACTTTCTTAAAATATCTGTATTATACTTCTAGAAAAACTACTTACTAATATCACAGTTATAGATAAGTTTCTAAAACGGTGTGCATGAACATTGAGGCCATCCATAAAGGGCTGAAGCGAGATGTCTTATCTGTTGTGTTTCTGTGAGTTTGCCAAGATATTTTTAACAGGGAACTCTAGGATTTGCCAGAGTTTGAAATGTCTGGGTTTGTTTGATTATTTCACAGAGATGATAAATATCCAAAAGGAGAGCAGTCCCATATGTAACTAACTGAAGGAATGAGTATGCGGGAAGGAATGCCTCCAGGCTGAGGGGGGTGCCAGAGCCCAGGTTGCTGGCCTGCTAATAAGCCGGAGGTCCATCCCACCGGTGGGAGTTGCTACACCCTGGGAGTCACCTAATGTCCCACAGGTGAAGCAAGTTCCCCCACACTGGGTCTATCTCTTCTGAGGTGGCAGTGCTTGTCACCTTGCTCACAATCCCCAGAGCCACAACAGTGAGCATCATACCCTAAACTCCTTGTCCTCTTTGGCATTATTGATTGATTGATTGATTGAGTTGGAGTCTCACTCTGTCACCCAGGCTGGAGTGCAGTAGCACGCTCAAGGCCACCGTAGCCTCGACCTGCTGGGTCCAGGTGATCCTTCTGCCTCAGCCTTCCAAGTAGCTGGAACTACAGGCACGTGCTGCCACACCCAGCTAATTTTTTTGATTTGTTGTAGAGATGAGGTCTTGCCAAGTTGCCCAGGCTGGTCTCGAACCCGTGGGCTCAGGCAATCCTCTCACCCCCGCCTCCCAAAGTGCTGGGATTATAGGTGTGAGCCACCGTGCCCGGCCAAGACATTGTATTTTTATTAGCAAAGAATGGTGTTTATATGTGAATGAGAGTGAGAAAATCAGATTACAGAAAAATAGACATAATATGGTCCCATTTTTGTATCAAAAAAATCATCACAGAAATAACTTTGGGAGAATAAATACCAAAATGTTAATATAATGAGATTATTGGTATTTTTGTTTTGCTTATTTGTATTTTTTATCTTTTTACATTTTTATTTATTTTTTAAGTTGGTGTCTCACTCTGTTCAACAGGCTGGAGTTCAGTGATGCAATCATGGCTCACCACTGTCTCCACCTCCTGGGCTCAGGCAATCTGCTTCAGCCTCCTGAGTAGCTGTGACTACAGGCGTGCACCACTACACCTGGCTAATTTTAAATTTTTTAGAGACAAGTTTTCACTATGTTGCCCAGGCTGGTCTCAGACTCCTGGGCTCAAGTGATCCTCCTGCCTCGACCTCCCAAAGTCTGGGATTATAGAAATGAGGCACTGCACTCAGCTGTATTTTCTTTTTAACAATGAATATGGACTGATTTTATGAAAATTAACTTTAAAAATCACTTCAGTTATAACATCTGGACACAGATCAGTGTTGTGGACAGAAGGCTTTGCTTACTACTCAGCTGTCTTTTTTTTTTTTTTTTTTTTGAGTTGGAGTCTCTCTCTGTCGCCCAGACTGGAGTGCAGTGGCCGCTCCCGGCCACCGCAGCCTCGACCTGCTGGGCTCCGGTGATCCTTCCACGTCAGCCTTCCAAGCAGCTGGAACTACAGGCGCACACTACCATGCCCAGCTAATTTTTTATTTATTGTAGAGATGAGGTCTCACCAAGTTGCCCAGGTGGGTCTTGAACCCGCAGGCTCAGGCAATCCACTCACCTCGGCCTCCCAAAGTGCTGGGATTACAGGCTGAGCCACCGAGCCCGGCCTCAGCTATGTCTTATACTCTGCTTAGAGTGGTGGAAATTTCAAGATAAGACCATGAGAGGAAAACCTGAAATTCAGAGGTTTATGTTCTGTAGAGTTGGACTACTGGATCTTAAAAATATTATCTTGCGAGCCGGGCTCGGTGGCTCAACCTGTAATCCCGCGCCTTTGGGAGGCTGAGGTGAGTGGATTGCCTGAGCCTGCGGGTTCAAGACCCACCTGGGCAACTTGGTGAGACCTCATCTCTACAATAAATAAAAAATTAGCCAGGTGTAGTAGCATGCGCCTGTAGTTCCAGCTACTTGGAAGGCTGAGGCAGAAGGATCACCAGAGCCCAGCAGCTCAAGGCTGTGGTGGCCGGGAGCGGCCACTGCACTCCAGTCTGGGCAACAGAGTGAGACTCCAACTCAACAAAACAAAAAACAAAAAACAAAATATTATCTTGCTACCACCCAACTTCCAAGAAATAAAACTGCCTTGGCCAATTTAAGAGTTATTCAGGGTGACATAAGTGAAAGAGGTTGTTATCGCTACTCTTCAGATAAAATAATGTCTTAATTTTCAACCAGGTTCCCATTTTAAATAAATTTTCATATAGTATGACCTTTTCTTCACCTCCCTGCCTCAGATAAAATCCTTCCCTCCATCTTTTTCCCATTGTTCTTCCCTCCTTAGCATGGCTTCTTTCCATCTTCATAACACAAACACCGATAACACACACACACACACACACACACACACACACACACACACACACAATGTCTCCCCTGCCCGTTCATTGAGAGAGCGATCTGTCAATCAATGGATTGATCAATCTACCATCTATGTGCTTAGCTATCATCTGTCTATAGATTTACCGTTTATTGTCTATCTGCCCACCTATCTATTCATCTGTAATCTGTCTATCAGCCTATCATTTGTCTGTCTGTCTGTCTGTCAATCTGTGTCTGAGTTGCTTTAACGTCCTTTTTGGAAAATGTGGTATTTCTTTTTTTTTTTTTTTTTTTTTTTGAGTTGGAGTCTCACTGTCACCCAGACTGGAGTGCAGTGGCCACTCCCGGCCACCGCAGCCTCGACCTGCTGGGCTCTGGCGATCCTTCCGCCTCAGCCTTCCCAGTAGCTGGAACTACAGGCACGCGCTACCACGCCTGGCTCATTTTGATTTATTGTAGAGATGAGGTCTTCACCAAGTTGCCCAGGCAGGTCTTGAACCCACAGGCTCAGGCAATCCACTCACCTTAGCCTCCCAAAGGTGCGGGATTACAGGCTGAGCCACCGAGCCCGGCACATGTGGTGTTTCACTGAGGAGAGCACTGAAGTAGGAGTCAGAAGAAAATCATCTGTTGTAGACGATACACACCTACGAGTTAAGGAGGTATCAGATATGTTGATCATTGTCATTCAAGCACATTCTTGAAGACAGAAGTCACTTCCAATAGACAACTGCTAGGATTTGAGGGAAGGGGGCGCAAAACTAGAAACTGGTGCAGGAGGAAGGGTCGTGCTGTCTGCTTTCCAGGAGGCTTGGAGGAGGTGTGGCCCCACTGGGAAAGGCTGTGGAGCCAGATATTGGCAAAGACAGCCAAGTGTGGAGCAAAAGCACGAGTTAGCCAATAGCACGGTCATGTTCAGATAGCATGTCCACAACTTACATCTACTCGCACCCCGGCATGCCTGATGACTGAATTCTAAATGACACTAGAAGGCTCTTACAGACCTTTTGTAGGTGTAAACAAGATGAGCTATTGAAAGCATGCCAGGACCACAAACTCTTGAGGGAAAACAACACATGGAAATTTTTTTAAAAGCCAATTTGGCATCTATTCATAAAGAATGGGATTAGATTTAATTAAAGGGGGGAACCCCCAACTCCATCTGGTTCTCTCCACATCGGCGCTGGGGAGTGATATGAGAGCCAGAGCTGGGGATTATTTCTTGGCACTAGCAGATTTCCTCCTCAGGGATCAAATATAAAATTCAAGCTGACCTTTGTTTAGGAATTTGTAAGCTGGACACCATTGGCTTCCTGACAGATTTTGCTGTCTTCTGTCACCTCCATAATGGAGAGACCAGCTCTCGATCGCGTCTAGGAAATATACTATTGTTCTGTTTATTTTTTTACTTTTATTTTTTTACAGCGACAGTGAATCCTAAAACTGAATGGTGCTAATGTTTTCCAAGAGAAGCAACCCCTGAGGGAGCCTGCTGCGCCTGCCAACAGAGGAACGAAGAGGATACGAATTTAATTAATTTCAAATCATTGTAGACACAAGAACCTTTTGCTGTTTCTTCCAACGCCCACTCTGCTTAAATGATGGCGTCACCTGTACTTGGAAGAATGTGTGATTGAGAAGTCCGAGGAGAGGCCTGGCCGTCATCCATGGTTGCCGCCGAGGGTGGGGAAAGCATGTGATGCTCGCCTCTGATCAATGGGCAGTCCCTCCTCTTAGCCAACTCCCGGCTCACCCTACTCCCTTTGGCCATGCTCTCTAAGTCTTCGTTTACTTTTCTGCTTCATTCCATGGGGTTTAAATCAGGAAGCCGTTTTTTCTTTGGTTTCCTTCTGGGTCACCTCATTACCTAACTAGCTGTGGACAATTTCCTCTGATTACTCAAGTCCTCTGACAGGTAAACTTACATTCAGCAGGCACTTTTCTCAAGGAGTGTTATGTCATGGAAAAGACCAGATAAAGTCAGTGCTTCTTGGGTACACCCTCCCATTGGGCAGGTAAGTTCCATCTGCCAAGAGCGCACAGCGAGAGTCCACCGTCCCGTCCTGATGAGATGTTGTTTTGTGACTTGTAGATTCTGACCTGGACTGGTCCGGCCAACTTTGGGAACCAGAAATCTTCCAGGAAAGAACAAATGTTTTCCTCAGCTAAAATTACTTCTGCTTGTCAAAGTTTCTCCCAAGTTTTTGTTGTTGTTGTTTGTTTATTTTTGTTTTTTGAGTCGGAGTCTCTGTCACTCAGGCTGGAGTGCAGTGTCACGATCAAGCTACCGCAGCCTCAACCTGCTGGACTCAGGCAATCTTTCCACCTCAGCCTTCCAGGTAGCCAGAACTACAGGTGCATGTCACCACACCCAGCTAATTTTTTGATTTATTGTAGAGATGAGGTCTCACCAAGTTACCCAGACTGATCTTGAAACCCTGGGCTCAGGAATTCCTCTTACCCCAGCCTCTCAAAGTGCTGAGATTCCACGTATGAGCCACTGCACCCGACCCTCAAGTTTAATTTTGTTTCACCATAGCTCCTTTGCATGTGACATGTGGGTACGCAGTAGGCAGTATGTGCAGGTGGGGGCATCTGTCACCCTCCTATATCTCGGAGGTCTTTAAGGTGGTTTGAAACAAACAGAATTGGAACAGGAAATCTGTACCTCTCAGCGGATATCACTCATGCTCATCATTCTTTCCTGCGACGCTGGAACCAGGCTTCTGTCCTCAACGCAGCAATCCAGGAGATCACTTTCAGTTCTTCATAGATGAAATTCTGTGTGACATTTGTTGACATCCTTGTGCTAAAAGCAATGATGCAAAATGGAGAAGGGCCTGCTGACCACTCACATAAAAACCTCCACTCAATCCTTAATTTTTTCATTCGACCTTTAAAGCCATTTAGCAAATGGGGAGTCCTCAGTTCTCCTAGGACACTTGATGTTTCATTCCAGGAAAGAAACAAAGAGGGAAAACTTGACTTCACTACCCACATATAAACCGAGGCGGGAGATGAGACTAATCAAGCATTTGCTCCTGAATTTTGGGTCTTGTATTTGAAAGTGTGCCTTAATGCATATTGGAAGCTGCCCCTGTCCTACTTTTTAGGGTCTTTTTCACAAGTTTTTGCTGTCTGAACTATGCCAATAATTTTAAAGACAGAGTTCCAGACCAGAGAGGTCTTTCTGTACAATGCAAGATATAGCTATCAGGTTGTGTTTGACCACTGCTGTCATGCTGTCCTGGTATAGCATAGAACTTTGACAGAGGACAAGCTTCATGGTGTATCCCTCCAGCAGATTCACCTATCACATTCTCATCAGCACATCCAAACATGGTTTTGTGTTTTCATTGCTGTTTTGCATACTTATATCCAACTTGTGGCCCACTCTGATTCTTAGATCTTTATGTCCAAATTGCTGTTTTCTGAATCAGAACTTGTCTTTTTTTTTTTCTGTCTATGTTTGCTACGTTCAGCTTGTTTCTCATCAACATTTTGACTCTTAGTTTCCATCTTCTTATCTCCAGACTTCTAAGATCTTTGCTGAATACTCAGACCTTTAGGTTTGATCCAACCCTGTCAAATGATGAACTATAGAAGTTCAGAGAAGTATATGGGACCTTGAAATCTCACTTTAATAAAGCCATATTTTATAATATGATTTTTAAAATCTTCTCATTCAGTATTTTAAATAACTTCAAATTTCAGAAGAAACAAATTTCAGCAACATATTAAGTTTATGTCTGATAAATCTATAATTGCACAGTATACAAGACACTTTTAAAAAAGATAACTTATTCTGACAAGATCTATGAGGTTACTATGGGTCAAAACAGTCAAGTGCCCTGTGTCTTTTTATTACTATTGAACCAATAGACATCATTTATTCATGACAATTTCAAGAACTGTTTTTAAACCAACTTAATTTTATCTTTCAGAATGTTTTAGTGAAAAATCTCATTACTTTGCCTGAATTGTATAGCCAATCAGCAAAATCTGACTTTAGATTATTTTAAAGATATAACTTGTACTGCATTTTTGTTCATTGTAAGCAAACTAGGTTAACAGTATTGCCTAGTTAAACTCCTCAGGAAAGTTGTTTTAATAAATATCTAGAACTATCCATTTGTGACTCCTCACTCAATGATATGTGATTCCTCTCTCTGGGAAGAGCATCATTATCCAGTGCGAGGGCCTGGGTCTACCTGGATACTCCCCGGTGGTAGATGCTTCTGCTCACCATAGCGCCAGTAATGGAAATGGATGCTTCAAGAAAATACTTTTACCTATTCTTTTATGGTGGTTGTTTAACCTATTGATTCACACAGTCTCTGGAAAAGGGCCTTATGTTGAGTAAACATAAAATGTAGGCTTTAGTTTCAGCTTCTGTCAGGATTAGTACCAATTCTGAATCTAGTGCCGTGATAAGACATAGTTTCACACTGGGAAGATGCTGCTGAGATTCTCATTGTGGGGAAAACACTGAAGTTTTATACTGAATTAAATTAACACGTGACTTTTTCACAGTCAGAAGACATTCAGGGTGAATTCTGGGGTTTCCACTTACTACTTACTATAACAGGCTGCCCAGAGCAGCTTCATTTCTGCCACGTGGCAACAACCGGAAGCATTCCTGTGGATCAGTGTGGAGTGGAATTCATCAAATTGTGTAACCCAGGCAGGGCGTAGTGCTCATGCCTGAAATCCTAGCATTTTAGGAGGCCAAGGTGGGAGAATTGCTTATGTCCAGGAGTTCGAGACCAACCAGAGCAACAAAGACTGACCTCATCTCTACAAAAAATTTTTTTCTTAATTAGCTGAGAGTGGTGGCATGTGCCTGTAGTCCCAGCAACTTGGGAGGCTGAGGCAGAAGGATTGCCTGAATCCAAGAGGTTGAGGCTGTGATGAACCATGAAAGTGCTATTGCACTCCAGCCTGGTGACAGAGTGAAACCCTGACTCAAAAGAAAAACACCCAAAAAATGAACAAGCAAAAATTTCATAACCTGGACAACTAGTTGGTAGAATTATTCATTTTTCCGGAGGGAGGCAGCTCTTTGGCATTGCCTTGACATTGTCTTGACTTGGCATTGTCTTGCCTGGCATCAAAATTGTATTTCCTCTTAGTCCTTTGGGGGTGTTATTTGTTTTGTTGCCCTCTGACCTTTTCTAAATAGCATATCATGTTCATGAGCCAGCAAACCAGACACCTATGAAAATAGAGCTTTGTGTGAGCTCTTCACGTGCTCTAAGCTTTTTCAAATATTTTAAGTTAAATTTCTAAACCAAAGTGCTTAAGATAACATGAAGACTTTAATTTCAGCACTTTACAAGATTAGAAGGACAATATAGAACTGTTTAAGATGTGCAAAGGTGAGTCGGGCTCGGTGGCTCAGCCTGTAATCCCGCGCCTTTGGGAGGCTGAGGTGAGTGGATTGCCTGAGCCCACGGGTTCGAGACCTGCCTGGGCAGCGAGACCTCATCTCTACAATAAATTAAAAAAAAAAAATCAGCCGGGCGTGGTAGCGCATGCCTGTAATTCCGGCTACTTGGAAGGCTGAGGCAGAAGGATCGCCGGAGCCCAGCAGGTCGAGGCTTTGGTGGCTGGGAGCAGCCACTGCATTCCAGTCTGGGTGACAGAGTAAGACTCCAACTCAAAAAAAAAAAAAAAGATGTGCAAAGGTGGATTAAAAAAAAAAAAAAATTGAACTTCAGGTGCAGAGGGCCCATGTTACCATACCCCTCAGTTTACCTTACATTATTATTATTGGCCTCTAGGACTTTGTCAGTGAGTCATTGGACTTTTACAAAAAATAAAAAATTCTTCATATTTTTCATTTCTTTGGTCTGCATATAAAGGACTTAATGAATAATATTCAGCTACTACATTATAGCAAGCAATATTTTTTCTTTCTTTTTCTTTTTCTTTTTTTGAGTTGGAGTCTCACTCTGCTGCTCAGGTTGGAGTGCAGTGGCATGCTCACAGCCAGCACAGCCTTGACCTGCTGAGCTCAGGTGATCCTTTTGCCTCAGCCTTTCCAAGTAGCTGGAACTACAGGCACGCGCCACCACACCCGGCTAATTTTTTTTTTTATTGCAGAGATGAGATCTCACTAAATTTCCCAAGCTGGTCTCGATCCCGCGGTCTCTAGCAGTCCTCTCACCTAGGCCTCCCAAAGTGCTGGGATTATAGGTGTGAGCCACCCACCCAGCCAAAATTTTTTTCCAGCATCAAAGTCAGTTGAGAGTAAGTGTTGTGTTATTCTGTCTTAGATGAAACCCCTGGGATTATAAATAACATCAGGAATATGTGAAAACTCTGCATGTTTCTGCATGTTTAATAAATGTCAGCTTTCAGAAAAAGCAGGGAATATAGATATCCAACAAGTTAAAAAATAATCTGGGATTGGGAGTGTGGCTCACACCTATAATCCCAGAATTTTAGGAGGCTTAGGCAGGAGGATTGCTTGAGCCCAGGAGTTCAAGTCCAGCCTGGGCAACTTGGTATCTACAAAAAAAAAAAAAAAAAAAAGCCGGGTATGGTGGCCCTGCCTGTAGTCCCAGCTACCTAGGAGGCTAAAGTGAGAGGCTCCTTTGAGCCCAAGAGGTTGAGGCTACAGTGAGCCATGATCACACCACTGTACTCCAGCCTGGGCAAAAGAGTGAGATCCTGCCTCAAAACAATAATAGTAATAATTGGATAGATCAGTAATAATTTAATACATGTGTATCTTGTATTTAAAGA